CACTCCCTTCTGATCTTGGAAGCTACGCAGGGTCAGTACGTGGATGGGAAACCATCAAGGAAGTCCAGGGTTGCTACACAGAGACAGGCAATGGCAAAGCCACCTCTGTTCATCTCTTGCCTTATATCCCTACCAGTGTTCCCTCTAAGCTGAGTCGGTGTGAGCTCGGTCACAGTTTTTTAGCCTCTGGCTCACACATTTTTGTCTCAGCTCAGGAAGGAGGGCTCCAGAGCAAACTAATTTAGGCAGTAGCCAAATCGCTCTCTCACAACTTTAGGCAGAGACTGATCAAGAGAGAGATCTTGGAGTTGTAGTAGATAACTCACTGAAAATGTCGAGACAGTGTGTGCCTGCAATAAAGAAGGCCAATGCTATGCTGGGGATTATTAGGAAGGGTATTGAAAACAGATCAGCCAGTATCATAATGCCCCTATATAAATCAATGGTGAGACCTCATTTGGAATACTGTGTGCAGTTCTGGGCACCACACCTTAAAAAGGATATTATAGCTTTGGAAAAAGTGCAGAAAAGGGCAACTCGAATGATAAAAGGGTTGGAACACTTTCCCTATGAGGAAAGGTTAAGGCGCTTAGGGCTCTGTAGCTTGGAGAAACGACGACTGAGGGGTGACATGATCGAGGTTTATAAGATTATGCATGGGAAAGAGCAGGTAGAGAAAGAGGTACTTTTCTCCCTTTCTCACAATATAAGAACTCGTGGGCACTCCATGAAATTGCTGAACTGTCAGGTTAGAACGGCTAAGAGGAAGTCCTTCTTCACCCAAAGAGTGATTCACACTTGGAATTCACTGCCACAGGAAGTGGTGGCGGCTACAAGCATGGACAGCTTCAAAAGGGAATTAGATAAGCATATGGAGCAGAGGTCCATCAGTGGCTATTAGCCACAAGGTATAGATAGGGACTCTGGGGCAAGGGATGCTCTGTCATCTTGGTGTTTGGGGGGGGGGCAACAGTGGGAGGGCTTCTAATGTCCTGGCCCCACTGGTGGACCTTCTGATGGCACTGGTATTTCTGGCCACTGTGTGATACAGAGTGTTGGACTGGATGGGCCTTTGGCCTGATCCAACATTGGCATCTCTTATGTTCTTATGTTCTTAACTTTCATGCCAGTGGCCCACAAAGTAGAATTTTTGCTCGCAAGACTCCACAGCTTAGAGGGAGCATTGATCCCTACACAGGGTTGGCCATAAATTGGCTGCAACTTGATGGCACCTTCTGCCATCAGTAAACTTTGAGGGCACCATCAGAAAGTGGGGTAGAGTTAAAAATTATTTATTTGTTTGGACAAATGTGGGGGAACTCATCCCCTTCGCTACCCCGAGTCCCTCACTTTTTGCACACACTTTGCAATGATCTGTATAGTGGCTACAATACTATACAGTACTGAGAGCCAGTCTGGTGTCGTGGTGAAGTGTGCGGACTCTAATCTGGGAGAACCGGGTTTGATTCCCCACGCCTCCACTTGCAGCTGCTGGATGACCTTGGGCAAGCCATAGTTCTCCCAGAGCTGTTCTCTCAGGGGCAGTCCTCGAAAGAGCTCTCTCAGCCCCGCCTACCTCACAGGGTGTTTGTTGTGGGGAGGGGAAGGCAAAGGAGTTTGTAAGCTGCTCTGAGACTCCGAGTGAAGGGTGGGGTATAAATCCAATCTCCTCCTCCTCCTCCTTCTATATACTCTTCAACATACAATACTAAACATTGTTTCGATCGAGGGATATACAGCTAGTTTTCTTCTAGCCCTAGCTCCTAGCAATTTCAGCTACTGTTAACTCCCCCCACCCCTTTAGTGTGGAATAGGCGATCATCAATATCTAGACACATTCAGTGCTAGAAATCTGCCAAACAGCATGAGGATTTCCACTGTTGGGTTTTTTTAAAAAATTCTTTCAGCATTCATAATCCTTATCCACACTACAATTTACAAAGGATCTGAAATGTTTACAATTTAAATATCTCAGGCCTGAAATTCCACATTCTGCTCATTGATGTGAGGCCCCCTTTGACTGCTGAATACTCAAGTATCTCTGCTAACAGTTTCATTCAACACGTTCACTGCCATCAAAAACTGCAGACACCGGTGTGCTACGAATGTGTGACTGTGGGCAAGGTGGGAGAGTTTTAAAATGCATGGAAGGGCGCTAAGGGGCGCTAAGGTGTGATCAGAGAAGCTTCTTTTTTCTTTTTGTATTTTTTTATATGTGCATGTGTGTGCACCTGGAAGTCATGGCGACCTCTGGTGACTGACCCCTACTGGGGGCCTGGAAGATATTCAGAGAGGTGGCTGAATAAAGCCTGCCCCCGCCTCCCACCTCTGGTATTCCAAGGAGGTCTCCCATCCGAGTCCTTGCCAGAGTTGACCCTGCTCAGCTTCCGAGATCTGACGGGATTGGGCCGGCCTGGGCTATCCAGGTCAGGGCGATCAGGGAAGTTTCTGAGTCTCTCAGATGATCGAACCATGAAGTTTTCTTCACGAAAAGCTTCACCAAAGCCACCTTCAATTTATTTATTTGTGAAATTGGATTTACTAGGCCGCCCTTCCCTACAAGTAGGGCTCAAGGCGGCTCGCAACAGAATAATAGACAATCTCAGTATAAAATTAGTTTAAAACAGTCCAATAAATACAGACAGCATATATACAATATATTCCGCAGGGCCTGTAAAACGGAGCTCTTCCACCAGGCCTTTGAGTAGGAGCCGCGGCCACCATCTTTAGGCCCCCATTTATGACCATCATTCCATCTACGCCCCCCCCTTTATTCCCGCAAATAGACCATCTTCAGAGCGGGTACTATTGGGGGGCGCGAGATGTTCCTGGCAGAGGACAACGCAGTAGGGATGTATATTGTCGCTGTTATATACTGTTATTACTGCTGTTTGTTGTTTCTAGTACAAATAATTATAGAACCAATTTTATAGCTAAGTATTTCTGGAGCACCGTAAAGAAATTTTTAGCGAACTGTATTTATTGTATTTTATATTTACTGTATTGTTTTAAATGTTTTAACTTGGGCACTCGTGCCCCTTGTGAGCTGCCCTGAGCCTTCGGGGAGGGCGGGATACAAATCCAAAGATAAATAAATAAATAAATAAAGAAAGAAAGATGGCGGAGGAATTCTAACTCCCCAGCCTCCCTGGGGGGGAGGGGTTATGAGGGATGGGAATTATATGAGAGCGCCAAAGGGAGCCCTGTCGCTGTCCTCAGCTGAAGGCCCGGCGGAACATCTCTGCCTTGCATGCCTCGTGGAAAGGTAACAACTCCCGCAGGGCACAGGTGTCTCCTGGCAGAGCATTCCACCAGGCGGGGGCCAGTTCAAGGACAGCTGGACTTCACTCAGGCCGGGGATCACCAGGAAGTTCTTGTTTCCTGAGCGTAACACTCTTCCAGGGGCATACTGGAAGAAGGGGGGCAGAAGAAGAAGAGATTGGATTTATACCCCCCCCTTCACTCGGAGTCTCAGAGCGGCTTACAAACTCCTTTCCCTTCCCCTCCCCACAACAGACACCCTGTGAGGTGGGTGGGGCTGAGAGGAATTTCACATTACCCTTTTTAACCCGTTTTGAAGCTGTTTTTGATCCGTCATTGAGTAAACCGGTATAGGGCTGCCATTTCACACATGGCTTTCAACTTCCGGTAAAGAGCTGGATCTGAAGCAGTTTGCCATTTCAGACTGCACCGCTTTTTCCCCACCGTTTTTCACCCACGTGGGCGATCTCCGCTTTTTTTTTTTTTAATGTTCGCTTTATAGTGCTATAGCACTATAACAAAACACTCCAGGCATTCCAATGGGGTTGATATGCTGCTGTTCCGTTATAGCGTTATAACACTATAGCACTATAAAGCAATTTTTTAAAAAACAAAAAACCAGGCATCGCCCACGCGGGTGAAAAACGGCGGGAAAAGGCGCATCGGAACCGGGAGAGGAAACTGAAGACTACTTGGAAGCAGTTGACAGGTAAAACGCTTCAGCCCCATTTCCTAAACGGGACAGAAGTGTTTGTGTCTGAAATTACAAATATATTTCTGCAGGGAACCAGTTCTAAAACGGTTCTGTCTGAAATGACAGACCAGAAACCGTTTGGGAACCGTTCCTCTTCCGGATTATATCGTCTGTCTGAAATTCCTCTGACACAAACTGCTCTTTCAGGAACAGCTGTGCCAGAGCTTGTGACTGACCCAAGGTCACATCAGCAGGTGCAAGTGGAGGAGTGGGGAATCAAACCTGGCTCTCCCAGATTAGAGTCCGCACACTTAACCACGACACCAAACTGGCTCTCCACACCAAACTGGCAGAATGCTCTCAGTCAGGGATATGTTTTTCATGCGTCCGATGGCATGGACCAGTCCCCTCACCCCTCCTGAAGCTACTACCAGCCATGGCAGGCAAGAACCCAGCAGGTCAGTCATGCAACTTCACGAGTCCTGTCTACCCCATCAGGCGATGATAACTGCATCCTCCACTGGAAAAGAAAATCTGTGTGTTTTGAAAAATTTGAAAGCTGCATGTTTTTCAGTGTTCACAGATTTGCTGCTTTTTAAAGGGAAATCATGCAATGCCTAAATGCATCATTACATGCTTTGGCAACCAGACTAGAGACTTCCATGGATGTAAGGGTTTTCCCCATGAAGCAGGATCCCCACCCCCCACCCCATGGCAGGCTGAAATACCCCTTGAAATCCTGTTCTTGGCTCTCCCCCAAAAACAGGACCCCGGGGGGGGGGCATTTTGGGTTGTCACAAGTGGAAGGAGGCAAGAAAACCACGCTCTGTGGACAGAGATACTTGTGCGAGCAGAACCATCTAGTCTGGATCCAACCCCTTGTTCTTTACATAAAAATATATACGGTTTAAATCAAGCAATGACATTTGTAAAATAGGCTGCTGGGAAATGCTTTCTAGGAGAGAGAAAACCCAGGATTCTAGGTGATGCTTACCCCAGAGAGAAGAATAAACTTGAACCAAGCTGGATGACTGGAAAAGGATACAAGCTCTGATAGAGAGTGATAAGAGACTTCACGGCTCTGCTGGCATTGATGCATGTGGCACGGATAAGATTTGGCAACAGTTCTGCGGTCACTATTGCTCCGTCAAATAAAGGACCAAAAAATGGCACCTGCAAAGATAAAAATTGTAGACTGCGATGAATATACACCACTGAATAAGGGCTTCGGGTCAGTGCTAGATGTTATGATCATTATATGAATCGCTACAGCCGGAAGAAGGAAACTTCGAAGACCAGCACCAGGAAAGGACGCCACCGACTACCGCCGCAAGAACAGGACAACAACCGAAGATCCGCCGCAACAAGGGTGCCTGGTAGGGTTGTCACCACCCCTGTATATCTGTGGCCCTAGGTTAGATTCGGTAAATGTGATTAGCACTCCCTGTAAGCCGCCCAGAGACCCTTAGGGGTTAGGGCGGGATAACAAATCGAATAAATAAATAAATAAATATATATATAGGAGTCGATCAGTATGATACTGTCATTTCCTACGTCACACATATAAAGCACTGAAATAAAATATACACGTACACACACTTTTACGCACCAGGTTTATGGGTTCCCAGACTGACCCAGTCTACAAAAATGGCCTCCTTTTTATGCTTTGGTGTGGCTTAGTTGTCAGTAGTAACAATACATACAGGCAGGGATTTGGTTTTGGATTCCAAAAGGCGTGTTCCTGGGATTAGCATTCAAAGTCCCAATGTACCTTTCTGTGACCCCAGAAGGCTGGCTCAACCTTTACACTCACATGTAAATTATTATTTATAATTCAGGAGCTTGTACAGGCCCATATTTTAGAAAACAAGTTGAGTGTTATCTTTTCCATCGGAATCTTAATGTTATTTAAAAGCCCTTAAAGGATTAAAAACCCAGTCAGTTTTAGATACTGACTGGTTTTCAGAGACTAGTTTTAATCTGAAGGCGTTGGTTTTTATAGGTGGTTTCAATCACAGTTTCAGGATGGGTTATTTTTGTGTGTGCTGTTATGTTTTATTGCTGCAGCTGTATTTTCAATTTTTGTAAACCACTTTGAATATTATTTTTAATATAAGAGCTGTACAAACTACTATCTGCATACAAATAGAAAATCCAAACAGATACTTTAAAGTAAAGGTAATGGTTGCCTTGCTTGAAAGCCAGTCGAATCCGACTCTAGGGTTGCGGTGCTCATCTCTGTTTCAAGGCCGAAGAGCCAGCGCTGTCCGAAGACATTTCTGTGGTCATGTGGCCGGCATGACTAAACACCAAGGCGCACGGAACGCTGTTACCTTCCTACTGAAGTGGTACCTATTTATCTACTTGCAATTTCTTGCTTTCGAACTGCTAGGTTGGCAGGAGCTGGAACTAGAGATGGGAGTTCACTCCGTCATGTGGCACACTCGGGTCTCAGCGTCTTAACCACTTGAGCCACCGCAGCTCCTTATATTACCAACTGCTTTAATCCAATATTGGCTATACTTATAGGGCAGAAACACGTCAGGTTTCTGAAGCGTTGCTTCAGACCTCTGGATATGTTCAGCTACACCAAAGATATTGCAATAGTCACCTGCCCAATCCCACTGCTCCCAAGAGACCTGCTCCCAACATTGCTCCCAACAGACCTGTTTCCCTCCCTGTTTTATACATTTTATTGAAAGTACCCATTGAGGCAGTGTGGTGTAGTGGTCAGAGAGCTAGACTAGGACCTGGGAGACTTAGGTTTAAATCCCCACCATGCCCCAGAAGTTCACTGGTTGACCTTGGACCAGTCACACAGATAACCTACCTCACAAGGTTGTCGTGAGGCTAAAATGGAGGCAAGGAGAATGATGTAAGTTGTTTTGGGTGGGGAGAAATATGGCGTGTGAATAAAATAAACGAAATGTTAGGTTCTCCTGATACAGACAACAAGGGCACTGAAGCAAAATACAACAAATCAGACTGAAACGGAATCCATCAAAGACGGAGGTCCTTCGCCTGGGTTGTGGGGTGCTGGGATTGGGGAATTAGGCTCCCACCCTTCGATGGGGCCCCATTGGTGCCAGCGTCAAAGGTGAGGAGCCTAGGGGTGGTTCCTGAAGGCCACATTAGCTATGGAGGCTCAGGTCACCACCACTGCCAGGTCTGCCGTTTTCCATCTGAGGCAGATCAGGTAGTTGGCCCCATACCTCACCCCCCATGATCTGGCTGCAGTGACCCGGGCAACAGTCACTTCCAGACTGCATCACTGTAATTCTCTCTATGTGGAGCTTCCCTTGGCTCTGCTCCGGAAGCTACAGCTAGTACAGAAGTGATGTCGCTGCCTGTACGGGCGCATATCCGCCTGGTGCTGCGTGACGTGCACTGGGCTACCTATTGAATTTCAAATCCGTTTCAAGGAGTTGGTGCTGACCTTTAAAGCCCTATATGGCCAGGGGCCTGCATATCTTCGTGACCGCCTCTCCCCATATGAGTCCCATAGAACATTCTGTTCTATAGGGCGCGCACCACATCCACGTCGCCTGGAAGTTGCGCGGGCACGCTGGGGGCGGGGCCATGACCATCCAAGGGGAAACCATAGAGTTTCCTCTCGGATGACCGTGGCCCCGCCCCCAGCGTGCCCGCGTCACTTCCGGGCGACGTGCACGTCGAGGTGGAGTTCCCCCCAGGGCCCAATGAACCAACACCTCCTGGAAGTCCCTGGCCCTAGGGATGTCCGGCTTGCCTCACCTAGGGCCAGGGCTTTTTCGGCCCTCTGTCCCCTGCCTGCCAGCGACCCTATGAGATTAGGGCCCTGTGGGACCTGCTACAGTTCCGCAAGGTCTGCAAGACGGAGCTCTTTGAAACTGATGAAAAGCAGGCAGAGATTAGAGGTAATATTGTGTTCACAGCTTAATGTATGCACCATTGTTTTTTAAAAAATAATAGTGGGGTAAATGTCTGGTTTCTGTGCACCCAGATAACTCAGCACTCTCTACTGCAAGTGTGTATTTTATTAATTTTTATCCCACTTCCACCCCAAACTTTGGCCCCCAGAATGCAGGAATCGCAAATGGCAACAAGACTGCAATGCAAAATGTGCCTTCGGGAACAGGCAGCTGAGATGGACCTTGGAAGGGTACCTGGCTCCTTCCAGACCTCAGAATCATCATCATCTATATATCTAATTGCCAAGTGGCCCCCGGAGTGCGGATCGCTAAATCAGCGCTCCGAGGGCACTTGGGGGGGAGGGGGAGGTTTGTGCACTCTTGGGGCAGTCCCCAGGGGTGCACAAAAATCTAAAAACTAAAAAAAAATATTGGGGGGATGTTTAAATCCCCCCGAAAGTGCAAGAGCGTTCTGTGCGCCTGCGCACGGAACGCTCTACGAACGCCAACGCCGCCGCCGCCGCTTGGAAGGCAAGCGGCGAGCGGGGAGGGGGGG